AAGTAAACAACTCAAGAATTTCCTAAAAAGGAAATTTTCAAGCGCCTAGGGGGGAGTGGGAAAGAGTTTTTTTTTTAGTTAAGAATAAATTTTATAATAACAAATATAATAATTTTATTGTATTTAGAATTAAATTACTCTTAAATATTCTTTTTGTATAAGAATTTCTTTATTACTTTTTTTTTTCTGTAATGTTAATAAGGCCTTGCCATTTAGTTTATTATACTTATCAAGTTAATACAATATTTGTCTTACAAATTTAATTGTGACATATATATTTTTAGAAAGTGAAAGCTAAATGGCTCAATGTTATTTTCATAAATCTTTTGATTTTCTATGTCCCCAAAAGGATATTAGTGTGTCAAGACTCTATTAGTATTATGAATTTAGTAAAATTATTGCTTTATTTTGAGAAAAATTAAAAGGAGGTGAAGAAAATAAACTGGAATAATATTATATTTTTATGGCAAATAAAGCAACTACAGAACAATTGCCCTATTTGCTTCTATTGGAACTCTTATTTTTTATCACTACCTGTAGCTAGGCTAATCATTTAATTTCTTACTGGCCTAAATATTGCCTAAGAATATTTAAAGTAGACTTATAACTAGTTCTTATTGCCTAAACTGTGGCTTATCTTATGCACAAAGTAGGTCTTATATCAGATGCCTTCTCAGGATAAGCATTACCAGCTTGGTTTATTACTGGATTGGGATGGAACCTGGATAGGGATCTGCAGAAAAATACGCTGGATATTAAGGAAGTGATCATTAAACCTACTTGTTAAAAATGGATACCTTATATACTTTGCAACTTTTGGTAATTATTGTAGTACTAACTGGATGATCATCACATTATGACACCTTTTCTAGAAATCACAATCTCAACATTCACTAGATTAGTGAATAAAATAATTTCTTATGAGAAACAGCACTTTTTACAAGTTATGGTGTCAGATATCATATTAATTTTATTTAATCACCTTTATATAGAATTGAATTGGTATCTTATAATTTGACCTGTGAAATGTTAACCACTATACTATGAATCCACAGGTTTTAAGAATTTTTTTATTACTTATATCTTGAATATTATAAAAATATATATTATTTTAAATATAATTTTTTTTATTTTTTTAACTGTTTTAAAACAAAAAAAATATATAAAAAACAATAAATTCTATTAATTTTAAATTCTATTCAAATAATAATAATTATATATGTTTTTTTATTACTATAAAAGAAATTTGATTAATAATATAATTTTCAATTAAATATGATTTTTAATTACTTACTAATTATTACTTAGTAATACAAACATAATATGGTTTTTGAATAATGTCTAAATTAAATACATACAGTACATATGTATAATAATAATTATTTAATTTTCAATATATAACAAGTAATAAAAATAGTAAATGAAATTATAATTAATATATTTTCAATATTTAAATTTATAATTAAATCAAAATATCTATCAAAACTTTTATATTATCTTATAATCTTATTTGAAAACTTTATTACAATATAAAAAATATTTTATTATTTATAAATATTAAATAAAACAAAATAACAAAGGAAAAAAAAGTAACAACAATAGTAATAACAATAATAAATATAAAAAAATCAATATATTAAAGATTAATTCTTCTTTTTGTGATATTATCAACTCAACTTTTTTCTCTAATAACAATAATTAATATTTTAATACTAATTATAGAAATATTTATTTAAAACAATTTCAATTATTTATTATATATTTTTAATTTTATTTTTAATTATTAAAACTTTATTTTCAAAAAAATTTTGAATAGATATTTACAATTGTTTAGTATTATTTAATTAATATACTAGTTTAAAAATAATTTTTTTAATAAAGATTAAATAATTAATGTAAGCAAGCTAACATTTAACTTATTATAAACTGCATATAAGAAATGATATATTTTTTTCAAACATATATTCTGCAATATATAAAGAAATAAAGAAATGGTATTATTTATGCAAAATATTGTATTTTCTTTTTTTTCTTTATATTTTGTATATATATAAAATATTATATTTTTTTATTTATTTGTAATATTTTAAATACATTTTAAATGTCAAATATATAATAAATAAATATTTTAATTTATTACATAATACAAATTTATAATATTTATTAGATACAATAATAAATTAAAAAAAATTTTTTTTAGTTATAAAAAATAGATAATCAAAAATATAAAAATACTAACAATATTAGGTTATAAAGAAAAATTTCAACTAGATTTTTATTTTATGTAATTTATAGAATATAATATCTTGTGCTTCGTCTTTCTTGCTTTATTTCACGTGATTTTTAAACGTTTTTGATCCTAAGTGTGACCTCTCTGGATGATACTTACAGTAACTGACATCGTACAGCAAAAAATTATTATTCAAAAATCTTAATTGGGTTTATTGAATATACTATTAAGACACGACTATACTCTTATAAAAATTTAATTTTGTAATCAAAATTTTGAAATGATCGTACTGCAAATCAATTAAATTAGCGAACAGCATACTATATCTCGCGTAGATATATTACCTACTTGATATTTGTGATAAAAAGAGTTCATTGTATTTTAATTCATAACACGCTTATTTCATCAGTCTATCGAATTTATAGCCATGGAAAAACGACGTGATAAATGGATCTTATTTTACGTTTATGAAAACTTCCTTGTATAGTGAACCACCTAATACAAAAAATATTTCTCGACTTCGTACATCGTAAAATTTTAAATCAAGGATTAGGACGGAAATTTCGTTTATTGATGAAATTTTTTACGCCTTTCTATATTTCGCGCGTCATATCAAATTTTGGGCGTGCTTTCTTACATTTTCAAGAATCTTTTGAAGAATGAAGAGGGCAAAGAGAAAAGTCTATAAATATGCTTCATGTTGAATTCGATGGATTCAAACATCATCCTTCGAAACAAAACATTTATAATAATAACTTTTGAAAAAAATCATGTTTAATTCAAGAAAATCTCTTCTATTCCTCTTTACGATTTTCCTACTCACACAGCTTTTAGTCGCCCTTCCTAACCCTTCCGAAGATTTAAAAACGCCGCTCTCATCGACACAATCACCGTCAACCGACAATTCCACTACACTCCAAGAAACCAATAATCTTCAGAAGCGATGCCTCTTCCCGCGTTTCGGTTGGTTTGGATGTTTTAGGCCATGTTTCGTGTTTTGCTCGTCTGTACACCCTATGGTAATTCCGCAGCAACCCATAATACAACAACCGATTCCTGGTACTGGTCCTGGTAATGGTACTGGTCCTGGTGCTGGTGCTGGTACTGGTACTGGTGGTGCTGATGCAGGTGCAGGTGCAGGTACTGATGCAGGTGCTGGTGCTGGTACTGGTACTGGTGCTGATGCTGGTGGTGGAGAAAAGGGTGGTGATGAAAAGAAGGGTGGTAATGGAGAGAAAGGTGGTGACGAAAAGAAGGGTGGTGACGGAGAGAAAGGTGGTGATGAAAAGAAGGGTGGTGACGGAGAAAAAGGTGGTGATGAAAAGAAGGGTGGTGACGGAGAAAAAGGTGGTGATGAAAAGAAGGGTGGTGACGGAGAGAAAGGTGGTGATGAAAAGAAGGGTGGTGACGGAGAGAAAGGTGGTGATGAAAAGAAGGGTGGTGACGGAGAGAAAGGTGGTGATGAAAAGAAGGGTGGTGGTGACGAAGAGAAAGGTGGTTCAAAAAGTAAAAATGGCAATGGCAAAGGAGGAAAAGAAAAGAAAAACAAGATAAGAAAAATCGAATAGACTTATTTCGTTCCCTGAAATCTTTTTATTTAATAAATTACGTGAATCGATATCAAATTTTAATATTTAAAACATTTAAAGTCTACTTAAGTCATTTTTACAGAGTGCAGTAGGTTCAAGATTTTATTTAAGTAAAAAAAAAAAAAATTTTTTTCGTATGAATTACAAAGTCGTAATTTCTCATAAATAATCGATATTAACGGTTTTGACAATTCACATCAATGAATTCCCAAAATATTTTGGATACTCCACGGTCAAAACAGGAAATCTTGCCGCCATCGCCTTTATGTTGTAATTCGTCATGGAGTTATAACCGCCAAGTAAAATCCTACTTTCCACATTCGCCACTTGGGCACACCATTCAGCATATTCTTGGTTAACAGCTTCATACTCCACAATTGCTTTTCCTGCATACGTATGTCTGTGAGGCGCGTAAGACCAAACAGGGGTAAACAATTGTTTGTTGTCTGTACGTATTGGAGTGGGTGGTGTATTTATAGTGATCGTAGGTTCCGGATCCGAGTCCAGAGAAACTGGTTTATGTGATTTATTGGAAAATATCCAGCGAAATAGGGCCGCGGCTGTTGAGGGATCCTTGCTGGACGAAGAAATCAAGCCCTTCATAGAAAGTATCTTATTTTTTTTTGCTGATGAGGCTGAAGATTTGGAATCAGAAGTAATTGACGACGGTGGTGAAGGAATCAAATTATCAGATCTTTTTTGATTTTCACTATTAGAATCATCAGCTAATTCAGAAGGTTCGCTTGTAGTATCTGTATTCTTAGATTTGGCACCTTGTTCTACATCATCAATATTTCCAGCATAATTAGTTAAGAATTTATAACAAAGTCGCAAGTTTTCTAATCTATTTTGTAAAATGAGTAAAATACTAGTAGACAATAAAAAAAAAAAATAGAACATTAATACCACCAATTGAAAACCAACTGATAAAGCCCTGAAGATATTTTTACAAATCAACTTACTCAACCACGAGATCTTCTTCCTCACTCCTATCACCTTCAAAATCTTTACCATCATCTCTTTTTCCGATCCCTCCACCGATTCTACCGACCCGCCATACCAATAATCTCATAAAGTAGATCCTAATATTTCTAGACCAGTGACAAATCATTCGCTCAAATATATCTTCATCCAAAATTACATCTTTGACCAATTGCTTCAAATAAACAGGACGTGAAGTTAGAAGGGGAAAGTGGGTATAAACAAAACTTATTGTTCGTAGAATTGTGATCGTATGATCCGATTTATCAAGTATTATTTTAACCAGTGAGATATAAGAGGTGACGTCGAGTATATTTGTAAGGTTAGGCGGTGAAAAAAGTGAATCAAATGTATCGTTTGAATTAGGAGTATAAGTGGTCATTGACTCGGAAGATACAATAGCATTATCCCTTTTCGTTTATTTGTAATAAATATATTATTGTTATTAGCAAAATATAAAATAAAAAAAAGATTTCTCGATAATGATTATAATCATCGTTACCTGGAATCTAATTCGACTATTAATGCACCAATGAAGTCCAGTAAACCTAATGAAATATTGTAAAGTATAGTATGAGAAATAATACCATGATTATTGCACAATAAATAAGGAAATAATCTTATCCATTCGCTTACAAAATACCCCCTCTACATCGTACATATTTGTTTTTTTAATTAAAGCCTTGGTCCAAGCATTACACATTTCCTGGAAAACCCCATTTTCTGCAATGGAAACCATAGTTTCTACGAAACGTTTTTCTGCTACTTCTAATACTTTAGGTTTTTCATTAGATTGACCACTATTCATCAATCCGCTTATATTTGTGTTTGTGTTAGCAATGTCCCCATTAACGGTGCTATTTCCAATTCCAGCTGTAGCATAAGTATCAACAACAGCAACATTTGAATTCATCTCGGTTGAAACTCCTGATACGGTAGAAACAGAATTTTGTATATTTTTTGAATGCTCGAATTGAATGACTGTAGTGATTATGTGAATACTACGATTAACAAGAGATTCTATCTTAAGAAGGAAAAAGGAAGCTAGATGGATATACCCAGGTGAAGTGATATATTGATATGGAGGAGTCATTGATTTGGTATTTGCCAAAGTCGCGAGGTGTGTCGCGAGGTATGATTTAAGAACGACGTGATAATGTTTATAAAATGAAAAAAACAGTTCACTATCATCACTCTGCCATCTATATATTCCAATAAAAAGGTTAATATATGTTATAATTATTCGTAGAATTCATACGTTTCTATTCACCTCCTCATCCAATTTCCATTCATTTCAATTGGTGGTTCCCCCCAAATCCGTTTCGCGTTTTCAATCTGTCCCCACCATGTTTGCAAATTTGAGAAGCAAAGAATTTTTAAATGTTCCGGAAATAGCGAGACAATTTTGTTATTTTGTTTTGAAATTTGGTCGATGCTAAAATAACCAAAATAATAAGGTGCTTGTTTAATAATGGTTAAATAAAATTATCATATTACAAGACAAACCTTAAATAATCGTCACCAACGGCCTCCCTTAATAATCTTTTGATATGAAATCTGTTTACAGGTAATGCGTGGAGTAATGCGAAACCAACACCAGGAATTTTAAAGAAGCATAAAGCTATTTAAAGAAAAAGGGTTATGATGAAATGACAAATTATATTTACGACAAATCCAAACAGTATTCCAAAATCACGTTACCTAGTACTCTCGCGCAGAATGAGATGACATTGGAATAAACTCCTTTTTGATTTAATCTATCTATTGCATAGTGAAGTGTTGTCATTAATACAGCACGGTAAGAATTTACCATTTCTAT